ATATTTCTTGCAAAGACAAGTAACTCTCCTCTCTCCCAGAAAAGGATGCCACCTCATTGAAAGCTCATCCCTAAACACAAGTTTATCGGCCCTATTACAAGGTCATACCCTAATTTATTAATTTATTACAAATAAGTGATGTTCATCGATACTCGATTTAGTTATCTCTAAACTTACGGTATATAGATATCCATGCAGTTGTTTTTAGGTGTCAACATGCGTTAAATAAAATATGTCTCCTCATGAACATTAATCTAATTTTCGAGTCACATAGTATAAAAAGCAGTTATCTTTATCATAGCTGACTAGTTTTCAACATATGCATGATATTATTATTACGAATCAAGGAGAAATTATTTTTTTTTTTTCCTTTGAAAAATTTACAAATTTAAGCAATTTATTCATCTCTTATATTTTATGAGATTATGTTATATACTTGTGATGAATCTTATTTGTAAAAGTTATTGTTCTAAATTGCTGTAGAAACTGCCTTGATAAGACAAATTATTCTATATATTGTGATTCACCTTTCCAATAATAATTATACCAAAAACTAAGAACGCATTTTTCCAATTACTTTATAATAGCGTTATTTATAGTTTAAATGAAATCCTATTATATTAGCTTTATTACATAGTTTAAAAAGAGGATTTTCGTTTATAGTAGTTCTATGATCAAATTTACTCAACAAGTTATAATTTATGAAACAATGATATGCTCATCTATATACGACTAAGCCAAATTCAATTTAACTTAATAATTTATTATAAATGCTCTTTAACTTAACTTTTATAAAGCTCATATTAGTCTGTTAGTTTCAACAGGAATGGATAGATGTATGATGTTTGAATTGTAATCACTAGGTACTCAGTCGTACTATAGTTACTAAGTCGCACTTTTTGACCATAATTACCAGATGTTAACTGTGTTATAGATAGATAGGCACATGTGAATTTCCATTTCTAGACTCCAATCTTTCAATCTAGGAAAAGTACCTAACTTTCGTAAATATTAATAAATAATTAATCCGAAACAGTATTTCACTGTTGTTTTTCTGAGAAATCGCTCCGTATTTTACTATACACAGTTTTTTTTATACGAAAACTGCAGTTTTTTTATAGCAAGTACCTGAAAAACATTAAATAAAATTGTACCCAAAAAAGTAACGATATAACGCGACGCTATATAATGCCATGGCCTTTTATTCTTGGGAGGAGTGGGAGCTACTACGGTAACAACCAGTAATAGCACGACATCGACGACTTTGTACAAATATAGAAATAGCATATGTTTTAGCATCAACATCGACTAGCACAAGTACTTCTACTTCTACTTCTACTTCTACTTCTACTTCTACTTCAACTTCAACATCAACTACTAGTAGTACGAGTACTACATCCTCGACAAGGGTGTAGTTAGTTTTCTTCATCTCAAATATGTGTTCCTTTTAGGCACATCAAGCACTACCTCGACGTCTTCGACCACTTCTACAACAGAAAGTAAACTAACAATCTCTAGAATTCTTTTAGTTGAAATCAGATGAGTATATATTTAAAGGGTTATGAGATATTTCGTTTTGAGAGATACGTAGATTGAATATATTTTCAAGATCAAGTTGTATTTTAGACTGATATAAAGCTTTTGAAATAGCTTTATCAACAACAACATAGATTAGCACAAGTGCATAATTAGTTACATTAGGGCATATAAGGTTCTTATGATTATTGTTTCTCTTTGTCTTTTAGCAACGACTACTCCGAACCCTCTATTAGGATCTTTCGACAGTCACTCTACACTGGCTAATAATTGGATCCAGCGCACCTTCTCATATACGGCAGTGACATCGGGAACTCTACTGCTCAAATTCACTTCCGTATCAACCAATCAATACGAATGGTATTTCGATGACATATCTGTGCGTAACTCAGCGTCGACAGAACTGCTAACAAATGGGAATTTCGAGAATCCTTCACCACTCTCTGGATGGTTGTCTACACATTCTGGTTCGTGCGCATCCTCAGTTGGTTTATCTAATAGCCGATATTATTCATCGAGCCAATCTTACGGTAACTGGTGTAACGGTCCGGCTGCTTCGATCGAGCAATCGTTTTCTTCCATTAATGGTGACGCCTATAATGTTTCTTTTTGGCTTTATCTCAATCATCCCAATCCAGGGATAGGCACCAGTGCACAGATGAGTGTAACTATTACTTGATTATAATCTTCGGATATTCATATTGATGGTGAATCTCTGATTTTGTACAATACATTATTATATACATAACAAAAGAACTTGACAAATCGAACATCACAGTTTTTGTTACTTATGAGAGTTGTTCTTTTCCAACGATTTTGTTTTTCATTCTACAACCTAATTCTGAAAAGCGTTTTACTCCACAAAATATATCGCAAGCAGAAAAGATTCAAAAAAAGGAACTTTTAGGTAACACTGATTGTGGTTTACGAGAGGCAAGAAAATACTTCTCTTCAGTGATGCATTCATACCGACACCTTTAGTGATCGAAATGTCAAATATAGATCCCCATAACTTTTAGTCTCTGAAAGAATATTTTTGAATTTAAGCGATTAGTGTCGATAGACGGCGTCGTAATTATAATTAGGATGTCTCTATGGAAACAAGCAGCGAATGGCTGATAATGACGTTTTAGCAAATGACATTTTATCACCTCTAATGCTTTTAGTTTATAGTGGCTGCTTTCGACTTGATCACAGATTTATTTAAATGCGAAAACAAAAAATTGTATTTGAAACAAATAAAACTCTCACTAGCGGCGAGATGAAAATTTAATTGAGTGAAAGGCGTTTTTCTCTTTACGTATCCAATCGGCAGAGTACGAACCTGCTAGGAAATAGTAGATCTGCACTGCTCTTGAAAACACTTTCTTTTCATAGTGATTTGATAATTCTTCGCACTCAATTTGTGTGCTAAAATAACTAAAATTTATATCAACAATACCATTTTGTAGTTTTTTATGCGATTTTTTTCCATAACATTGAACTTAGTTCTTTTTTTGTTGTATTTTCTATTCAACGAGTTTTCGTATAAAACAGATATATATATCCATAATACACAACCTCTACTATACAGGCATATAGACAAATTAAATAAATTTCGTGTATTTCTAATACACGACTGTAAACAAAAAAGTAGCACCAGATTGATCAGCACTGTATATTATTATTTTTCTGTTGTGTCATATCGTCTCAAACTGATAATAATATACTTATTGCGTCATATGCCCATTAAAACATGAATAGACTTCACAGATAAATTGCCATGTAAGTACTCTATATACCATTTTAAAGAGTAAAGAAATCTCTATTATTCTGTATACTTCAACTATATTTTAGATTGATAAACACAAAATTATAAATACTATTTTAGGCAGCACTATAAAAAGTATGTGGAATATTTTTGTTTGAACTTTGATAAGTCAGATCATAACTCAAATATGAAGGAAAATAAAATAGAATATACAAGTGGGAGTTGTAGATAGTCGAGTGATATATATACCCTATTGAATCAAGTTCTGTCTTTATTCAACAGAATTTAGATTCTTATATAGGGGGCCTGCTTAAAAAAAATGAAATCTGTAGTTTTTGAATTTCAGTTTTCTCTCACGGTGCACAAGAGAATTCTATCAAATACTTAGGGTGTACCAAAAGTTCTGATCACCATGTTTAAAAGACTCTTTCGATAAGGCGTCCTATTCAAAAATGAGAAACCAAGTATACTATGTTGTAGAGTTTTTCGAGATGCATCTAATGGTATATAGTAAATTCTATTTTCATAAGACTCTGAAAGAATTAGAATCAATTTACTGATAGGCGACTACACATTCACACATGCATCCATCCATATTCACATCCACAAGATGATCGGAGATGCTACGCATATGAGATTGTAGTCCTTTAAAAGTTCTACAAAGTCATATGTGAGAAAAGGCATTTTACAAATATTTTTGATTAATAGCAAGGACAACAATATTCATTAATTTATCATTGTTGAGTATAGGTGCTAGTATGGATGCATGTGGATATGTAGTCGTCTATCAGTAAATTGATTCTAATTCTTTCAGAGTCTTATGAAAATAGAATTTACTATATACTACTCGATGCATCTCGAAAAACTCTACAACATGGTGTATTTGGTTTCTCATTTTTGAATAGGAAACCTTATCGAAAAAGTCTTTTAAATATGATGATCAGAACTTTTGGTACACCCTAAGTATATACCACGAGATAGAGGAAGTCTTCTTCCGTAACCCTATGTATATCCCATCTTTTGGTCAAAAATCGACATGTAATTTATAATCGCCTTTCTTTCAAAGTAGACAAGAATGAGATATACTATTGCAATCTCATTATGTTCAAACAGGACCATAGATACAATTGATCCAATTTCCAATCAACCTAAAATTAATTCAGATACTATTTCCAAAAAAACAGAAGAAAGAACCTCCAGATACTATTACTCATGACTTCTATACACATTTCATGATGTGTTTTTAAGTTTTACTATAACCCTTAACAACGTGTGTGCTATTAACGGTTTAAATTGTTTTCTTTCCTCTATTTTGGTGATATTAACAATAAGTTACGTCAAATTATCTATTGGTCATATCCTATGAAAGACCATACTTCATACACATATTGCATTTCATATGTCTAAAATATTCTATAATGCAAATTTTATCCATTCTAACTATGTAAACCATTGTCGATTTACAGTAGTCAAGGAAAGGAAGAGTTGAATTTCTGGTTGGTTCTTGTAGAAAACTCACAGTAGTAATCTATCTTTTAAAATATGTCATATTTGAAGGCGAACTGTTTTATTATTTAAGGTTTGAAAACAGCAAGACAGAAAAATATTTTTACAAAAAAAAAGAAAAAAACAAACAAGCAGGACTTAGAATAAATGTTCGTTTTATTTTATCTGTTATATACCACAGAAATATGCTATCGATTAATCATATCTTTTAAACTTCACCTTCTTGTTGAACTGTTGTTGTAGGTAATGCTTTAAGTGGCACTTTTCGATTAACAATCGGTGGTAGAACAGTTGATAGTTTAATTGATGGTCGAAATGATGTTACTTTATTCGAATCAATATTTTCTGCATGAGTGTTAAGTAATTGACGTTGCCTTTTAGTATATGATTGTTCATCATTTGATTCAATACTTTTTGATGACAATGGTCTTAATTGTTGTGGTGGTGTTGGTGGTCGTCGTTTAATCAATAAGCCTTTCGTTAAATCTTGATCAGGACTAGCTCGATTGCTGAGTGATGATGAACGATTTGATAACTGTTTAGCCGATGACAGATGTTGTTTTTGTTGCACTTCACTGGCACTTTGAAATTTTGTTGGTTTATTTGGTAAAATCATCTGTCCAAGACGAGCACGATTTTGTAATTGTTGTTGAAGTTGTTTTTCACGATGTAATTGATTAGTAAGTTGTGCAATTAATGTTGAACGTTGTTCAAGTTCAATTTTTAATTGTCGTTGTTTGTCAAGCTCTAAACGTAATTCTAGGCCATGTTTTCGTTCATTTACAATGAAACGATTTTCATAATCATTAATAGATTTTTCTTTTTCTTCTAAAACTTTATTTAAATCATTGATTGTTTGTTTACATTGATGAATTTCATTTTCTAGTTGTTCAAGTTTTGTTCGAAGTTTACCTTGAACAACTTTCAATAAAATAAAATATACATGCAAATTTAATTAACACTTACTATCATCTGTAGGATTAATTACCGTGCCACCACCTATTGCTAATTGAAAAGTAAGGTCTAAATATATATTCGATTAGATTTAGTAAAGGACAAAAACTCTTTAATGAAATATATATATACCACTGCATTTCTGTTGCCATTTGGCTATTTCTTCATGAAGATTAGCCAATGTTGATGCATGTTCATGTTGAATAAATGTAATCGATTTTTCAGCACTTTGAAGTCGCTGAGCTAAAATGTTTGTGTCAGTCGGAAGATATCTGATATCCGACATTATTTAGATCTTAAACAAAAGTGAACAGAAAACAGAAATTCGGACAAAATTCACAACGAAGAATAAGTCAAGCAACAGATGTTATTATATATTTCAATGTTTGTTAAAACACATACTCATAAAACAAATCGATTAGTTTCTTTCTTTTTTATCGTGTTCAACACTAATTATAATGTTTTAAAAATTAAAGACTATAAAACACACAAACATGAAAAAGAACGATAAAGAATAAGAATATAGACAAAGAACAAGCAATGCATATAAATCGTTCTGATGCTTAATGATACATATTGAAAAAAAAAGAAGAATATGCATCGACATATTCAACAGAATGAAGAAAGCAACAGATTGCATCACCATTCATTCAACATCATACAATAAAAAATTTTTCTTTTCTTTTTCTCTCTAAGAAGATGAGAAAAAAAATAACATGACCTAATATCTGACAAACATTGAACTTGTGATCGAACAGAAAAAAGAAAACTTGAGATTATATTTAATCATCACGAGTATTCCAATTACGAACTTTTGGACGAGTACTTCCTCCTCTTCCTCCACCACGAGCTGTTGCTGGTTGTTGTTGATTGGACGATCGTGTAGAACGAGTTGTCAACACTTTTCGTTGAGCATTAACATTAATTGTTGATGATTCTACAAATTTGAAACTAATAAAAATGAAAACTAAATGAAGAACATTATTTTACTTGCTATAGATGGCCCTTTACCAGGCGTATTGTCAAGTACTTTCCATAAATCGCGAATATTTTCCGAAGCTATTGTTGTTATTGTATTACCACTATTCATTAATGGATCTAAATATATTGATTAATAAGAAAGAAATTGCTCTCATGAATTTACTTTCAGTTTTTTCAGGTGCACTTGTTGGTCTTTGTTGTTGCTGCTGTTGTTGTTGCAATTCATTGGCTACTTGATGTGCTCGTTTTCGATTTTCTAACTCCTGAAAAAAGGAATAAAGTTAGTTATTAATAAAAATATACGATATTACTTGTTTTGTTAAAGCATATTGAAGTTGTTCAAGTCGTTGAAGTTTACTTTCAAGATTAACATAATCTTTTTTTGGTGAAGTTGGAATATTCGAACGAATATTTGTTGGTATTACATCAACGATTTGTGGACGTTTTATCATTACTGGTTCATCTATTTTTTAGTTGGTTATTTTTGGTTAGAAAGAAAAACTTTGTTTGTAAAAAAAAAAAAAAGTTACCTTCATATCGATTTAATTGTGATCGCAAATTATTACTAATTTCCAATAAACGTTCTTTATCACGAATTAATGTTTGAATACGACTATTTGCTTGTTCTAATCGACGTTTTAATTGTTCATTTTCTTGTTTTAAAAGAACTTCCGTAACATTGACACCATCATCATTGGTATCACCATTATTAATATTTAGTTTAGGTCGTACTTCTATTAATATCATGATTGATTAGATATAAGAGAGAAAGATCAAGAATATTAGACAAACCAGAAAACTTCTTTGTCAATCGTTCAATTTCATCTTGCAGCTGTTGAATAAGAATTTCTTGACCACCATAATTAAAAAGTGGGGTGCGACCAGCTAGTTCTAATTTTGCTTCACTTAACTAAATTCATGAACATATATAAAACTATTGTATCAAGTAATAAATAGTTCGAAAATAAAATGAAAGGCATTCAAGAAAAAAATAGTTGATTCATTTTTTTTTTTTATAAAAAAGGATATATAACGAATAAGATCTGATGAACACAGTTGATGAATGAGAAACTTGTAAAACTTCTACAATCCTTCTGAAGACATTATATTCAGAGACAAAATCTTCTTTTGAAATTTAATGAGCAACTTCATGCTCTAAATATTATATGAAGGAATGGACCGAAAGTTTCTCAGCAAAATATTTTACTACTTTTCGCATATTTCAATGCATTGAAAATGATTGAGAAGTAGTGTGTTAAAATCAAAAGTTTGCGTTCTTTCAAAATATATGCTCAGAATTTTTCTCTGAATTTCGACTATTGATCTATAAGTGAATCTTGACAGAACTTAAAAAGATTTCTGCAAAGATAAAAACCTTATTTTTCTAAAGATAAGACTGCTTCTCGTGAATGTCAAATAAGTTCTGTGAATTTATAGTACTTGTAGCGATAGAATAGAGGATTTTGGTGAATCTGCTAAAAAAATGACAGAGCTGTGATGAACGGTCATTTTTTTGACGACAGACTTTACACAAGCTCTTACTGCACCTCAACAGTTTGCAACAAATTTTATTCAAATATGTTGCTTGCAGAGTATTGTTCTACATCTTCCGATACTTTCTTTTTGATAAAATTTCGTGGTATGTCTCCAACAAGTTTCGTTTGAGATTTTGCCCATCAAAAGAAATTTGTGAGCCTTTTCAAGATTCACTTATAACTCAATAGTTAAAAATCACACAAAAATCATAATAAGGCAATTTCCACAACTGACATCCGTCGTTTCATTTCATATTGGACTCACAGGCAGGTCTCACTGAGACCAGAAAAGCCTAAAAAAGTTCATCCGGTTAAGACTTTATTGTCGAGTTATGATCGGTTTATTGGATTTTCGATTCACTTGCACATAGTTCCCAAAACTTCTAATGATAGGCATTCAATTTAAAATTTTGCCTATAGATAGATCTAATGACTTTTACAGTACTCTAAACGTTTCAGCCGAAAAGAATATTCTTTCATCAAGATATTAGATTTCTGAAATAGTCCCGTGTTACAGATATGTCACAAAAATCGAGTGCATTTGAATATTTAATAACTCGATGAAGAAACATTCTTTTTTGGCAAAAACTTTCAGTACATTCTTAGAGTCATTAGATCTATCTACAGGCAAAATTTTTGGATCAAAGCTCCGTTATTTAGTCTTTCAGAGTATCTAAAACTGGGTCGAAAATCCTGTAAATAAGTCATAACTCGGTGACAAAAACTCAAAGAAACGAATCCTTTTAGTTTTTTTCCTAATTTCATTAAGATCTACATACGGATTCAATATGAGTTCAAATGATAAATGTCATTTAGAGTAGTTACCTCATAAGCATATACTCTGGAAGAACACAACATTTTAACTCTAATACACGACTTCTTAATCTTTTCCAGTGCATTTAAATACGTGATAAATGGTACCATCACTTTTATATCTTCAACTTTTTGTTTTAAGTTCTATGTTCGAATTTTTCAATAAAAGGACTTGATCAATGCTTGACTCTCAAAGATGATATCTATTTTCGGAAAAAAAAAATCGTGTAATAAACCTTTCGTTCTAATTCAGCAACATCAGCATTTCGTTCAATAATTGATTTTTGATATTCATCTGCTTCACGTCTTGTTTCTAATAGAAGTACTTCAATATCACTCATTTTTTGTTTCATACTAGCCAGTTCAGTTTGATGACGACGATCATCAGCATTTAATTGATATGTCAATTGATCAATACGTGATTGTCTTTGTCGAAGCTTAATAACAAAATAAATCATATATAAAATTCGACATTTTATAGAAAAAAAAAATACTTCTCGTTGAAAATTATCATGATTCTTTTCTATTTGAATTAAACGACCTTCTAATTTTCGTACTTGAGATACAAGTTGCATTTTTTCCGTACGTAAAGTTGCTTAAGAAAAAATAAAATATTTTCTTCTAATTTAAAATACAAAGCAAGAACTGTATTTTACCAATGGTATTATTCAATGATTGTACATAACTGCTTAATTGTGGATTTTTTTTAAGTTCATTATTAACAGCTGTATGATCAATATCAAGATTTGAATGACGTGAATCAAGCCGAGAAATTAAATCACGATTTTGTTGACGTAATGTTTGATTTTCATTTTGTAATTCAACAATTAAATTTGATTGACCGGATGTTGCTTGACCAGGTAAATCATTTACAAGTGCTTCCATTTGTTGTCGCATTTGTGAAATAACTGAACGAAGATTTTCATTTTCACGTTGTAAGACAACTAAAACATCAGCATCGCCACCATTCTATTTTAAAATAGAATTCTATCATAAATATACAAAAAGAAAAACTTCTTACTGATTTATATTGATTTGTATAAGCTTTAAGTAAATCATCTTTAAAATGAATATCATTTTCTAATTTTTTTACTTGTGCAATAGCCTGTTGAGAAACAACGAAGTTCTGTTAGTTTTAACGAAACAAAATTTAAGAACCTGTTCATGAGCACTAGACAATTTTTCAATAAGATCTTCTGATTTATGATATTCTTGTCTTTGATTTTGATCAAGTTTTTTTTGCCAATCAATATCTAATTGTGCTTTTGCTTCTTCTAATGCACGTTCACGATCCAAAGCCTCTTCAAGTTCTTTTTTATATCTATATAAATAATTTATTCTTATAAGTAAAACGCTTTTTTCTTCTATGAAAAATGTTTCATACCGATTTATATGATTGTCTTTAATTTTAAGTTCAGCTTTTAATGTATCACATTCATCTTGTAAAGCACGATGTTCAATATTTTCATTGGCATGTTCTTTACTTATTTGTGTTAATTGATGATTCCATTGTTTTTTTATTCGATTTATTTCCTCTTGTAGCCTATGGAAGAAAATAAAAGCTGAAATAATCGACAATTTTAAAAAAATATTTGCAATTAATCTCGAAAAGATGTTCTGTAGCTGAAAACATTTGGTCATGATACTGTTTACATACTAACAACAATAAAGTGCTTGCGAGTCATATTTTTTACAGATATTTCCATAGGTAGTCAACTGCAAAAACAAACACAAGATTCTCAAAAGATTTCTTCATCTGTAAAACTTTGTAGAGCTCGTGACGCTAATCATTTTGGCAAAAAAAAGCACTCGAAATCGTCACCTTCGATCAGTAGTAGTCTGAAATAACCAAAGTTTTTGAATATTTTGTTCTAGTAGAATGAGCTATGGAGTAATGTTGAATTTTCTTTGTCTACCAAACTGATGACCACAATGAACTTGATGGAATTCTACCAACAAAAAAGCCTTCTACGAATCTTGTGATTTTTGCAGCAGATTAACAATAGAATTATCCATCAAAAATATGATTCACAAACATTTTGTCGTTAATAGATAACGTTCGAAATAATATATAATTGACATACGTAGATAGAGATGTATCTTTTTCTCGGATGATCTGTTCATATTCACGTTGTTTTTCATTTTGTTGTTGTCGTAATTGAAAACATTGATCATTTGAACTTTGCCATTTATCTTCAAGTTCTTGATAACTTTGTTTTAATTGTTCTATTTTAACATCTTTCTCACGTATTAATCGATCAAGTTCACTGTACCTAATCAAGAGAATAAGTTAAAATAATTTTTTAATACTGTTTCATAACTTTGTTTTATAACTAAGAGGATGACGGAGCCATAGATGAAACCAGTATTTATATATGAAAAGAGGAAACGTTACTTCCGTTCGATTACTTTCGATAAGAATCATACATAAATTGATAAGAGAAGTCGTAAATTGTAGAAACAATATATTCACTCTCATTATGTTAGATAGAAAGAGAATTGATTCAAGGACTCCCAGGAGATTTAATGCAATTAAAATTCAAATAGTTGTACTTTTTGATAAAACACAACAGTTACTTTGCAGAGATATGTTTTACTAAACATTAGAACTTGAGAACAAATTGTAAATGAAGAGATTCGACTTATTTCAAGCTCTATTTGATACAAAAAGTTATTATGTAGACCAGTTTCGTCTTCTCTCCTTCGGTCAACAGTAAAATACAGGATTTCCAAACGTCCCAACCAAAGAAAACGTGACAAGCTCTCCAGTATTGTCAATGATTTAAATACTTTTTTCTTACAATTTGATCACATATTCATTACTGTTTTATTCAATGTATTTCAGATAAAATGTCTTTGTCTGCAAAAGTCAGAATTAAAATACTTTTGTTGATAACCAAAGTTGAGTCAGTTACCATTGTAAAACGAAATCTGCAGGTCGAATTCTGGAAAAAAACGTCCACTGAATCACATTTCAGTGATGTTATGGAACTACTGTCCGTTTCAAAATACAAGGCATTTCACTATTTTTCGAATAACTTTTGATAGGAACAAGATAGAGAGCTGCGGTTTCCACCATTCGAAAGAGCAATGTCCGGGTCGTCGTTGGATATAAAGCTGATTAAGACGAAACTTGCTTTTTTATAGGTGCTTTTGAATCAACACTTTTTCCTTTGAATATTTTGATCAATTTTGACAATAATCTCAACTCAAATTATGTCAAACTGTAGCTCAAATCATCCTTTGTTCGTCCTAAAATGATCACATATTTCAGTATCTCTCAACCTCTTATTCTGACCGGATTTTAAAAAGCAAATGTTAATTTTATAGCGAAAAAGGATGATTTGAGCTACATTTTAGCATAATTTGAGTTGAGATTATTGTCAAAATTGATTCAAATATTCAAAGGAAAAATGTTGATCCAAAAGCACCTATAGAAAAGCAAATTTCGTCTTAATCAGCTTTATATCCAACGACGACCCGAACATTGCTCTTTCGAATGGTGGAAACCGCAGCTCTCTATCTTGTCCCTATCAAAAGTTATTCGAAAAATAGTGACGTGCCTTTTATGTTGAAACGAACAGTAGTACTGTCGGAAATCGATCACATTCTGGAGTAATAATTGAAGAAAGAAGTCAACGATGTTAAGGATGGGTGTTAAAATGAGCCAGGATCAAGTTTTTGGTCTATTGCACAATCATGCTCATCACCACAAGCAACAACACACCAGATTGTGACGATACATTTCTTATTGAAGCACAATGTGTTCAACACTTGTACGAAATATAGTTGCATAGATCAAATACTTGATCGTGACTCATTTTTACAAGTATCATCATTCTCATGAATCTTTTCTTAAGTAATCACTTTACAGTCATCGATTTTCGACAGCAATAGTTTTACAAAATCATTGAAATGTGTTGATAATGCAATGTTTAGTTGGTCTGTTTTTTTCAAAACCAATTAGTAGTTACCGTTTTACAATGCTGACCTGTTGTGACTTCTTTAGATGAAAAATTTAATGAATACATAATGAAATTATAAAAAAATATATTTAAATATCTTGAATATCTGAGAAACTATTCATGTTTTTTTCTTCCTTCGGACTTTTTGAGCATCCTGTATTTGAAAGCCATTAATATTTATTCATGTTAATACAAACATTCGAAATTTTCGATTATATTTACTTACTTTCGACTATAATCATCTTCTCGTTCTTGAAGTCTTCCATCAACATTACTACACTTCAAGTCAAGTTCTTTAATCCTGAACAAAAAAAGTTTTCAGTTCTAAACAAAGACGTATTGAAAGTTTACCTTGCATTTTTTACAGCTTCTTGTTCATGTAATTGCCATTCGAGTTCTTTAACTGACTTTTCCAGTGTTTTATTTCGTTCTGTTAATTCAATATTGTTCAATTCTATTTTACGAATTGTTTGAACATTTTGTTCCAATTCTTCAGTTAATAATTTACTCTAAAATAAAATCAAAAAATGAACAAAAAAAGGAAAAGAAAAAAACAAATATATTATTACTTTCAGTTCACTCGCAAGTTGTAAATTGATAACATCATCATGACGACGTTTCCAATCATATTCAAGTTTTTTTGTTTGTGTTTCAAATTCATTAGTTAATTCTCGTCGTTGTCTTTCTAATTCATTTTCAAGTTCTGTAAGACGACGATTAATAGCTCGACGTTCTTGTTCTAATTGTTCACGTTCTGTTTGAAGTATCTGATCACATTGTTGTTTATAATTTGATAAATCTTTTTCTTTTATTGATAAACGATGTAAAAAATGCTTTTTTTCTTCATCTATTTGTAATTCAATTTGTTTTTTTAATGTATATAATTGATCATTAACAATTTTCAATTCTGATATTTCACTATTTTTTTCATTTAAAATTTTTTTCATTTCTACGTTAATGAAAAAATTTAAAAATAGAGTTCAACAAATAAAAAACAAGCGCAAAAACAATCTACCTTTGAAACGATTATCAAATGTTGCAAGTTCTTTATCTCGATCATCGATCAATTTTAAATTATATTTAAAATCTTCTGATAAACGATTATATTTTTGATTTAATTCAGCTAATTGTTGGTCTCTATTTTCAACAGTTGCTTCTAATGCAACAAGTCTAAAAAGAAAATTTCAGTTGTTTTTGTTTATTAAATGTTTGATACATTAAAAGAAACAAAATTTACCGTTCTTGCATAACAGCTAACCATTCTTTTTCTTTTTGTAAAGCAAGTTGTTTTAGCGTCTGATCGTCCATATCAATCAACTAAAAAATATCTAGCTGATTATCTTTAATCCCAGGTCATATTCGTCAATTTTTTTTCTATTCTCATACAGCCATTTTAAAATGTTGTTACTAAGCAACTATGAAGGTAGGACAAAGTGCATTACCGTTACGAATAATTATAGAATATTCCTTTTCTATATCAAAGTGTTTTAAAATGTGTTTTGCCTTTGAGTATTGAATTCATTAAATTTTTTTATTAATTTTAATGGAATTAACTAGGTTACTTAGTTACACCACACGTAAAAATGAAATGATGGTATGAAGTTAATTTCTGTTTCCCAATAATTGCTTTGTAAATTGAATAGAAAACGAAAAAGAAAAAGAAACCATGCCATCAACAACAGCAGGTAAGATTTCATCAATATTGATGCATTATTTTTTCTCATAGACATGTCGTTTAATGTAGATTATGTACCAAATGATAAAAATCGTCAAAAATTATTATTATCATCTCGTGATTGGGAAACACTGGCTACGGAGTATGATTATAGAGATTTTTCTTATGTCGATTAATATATCTTTTTTGTGTCTAGTCGTAGTAGTCTGCGTAGAGAAAACACGACATTATCAAAAATGGGTGGTTCAGAACGAGGACTTAATACACGTACAGCTGGACAAACAGATCGTAGTCGACGAACAGGACATGGAAATTATGAATCTGATGTATCAAGTGAAGAAGAAGATGAAGAAGAAGAACAAATATTCGAACGAGCACGACAAGATCAAACGGATTTACCAACAGAATATTGGCAAATTCAACGTTTGGTTAAATATCTCAAAGGTGGAAATCCAACAGCTACTGTTATTGCTTTATCATCAATTCGTGATTTTAATTTATCAGTTGAAACATGTCAACTAGCTATTCGTGATGTTGGTGGTCTTGATGTACTTGTTAATCTACTTGAAACAGATGATTTTGATTGCAAAGTATCTATTTTACATAAACTTTTTTTTTTTAAATATTTCATATCAATTGAATTTTAGATCGGTTCATTACATATTCTGAAAGAAATTTCACAGAATCCAAATATACGTCGAAACATAGCTGATCTTGGTGGTTTACAAACAATGGTTAAATTACTTGATGAACCTGATAAAGATTTAAAATGTCTTGCTGCTGAAACTATTGGTAAAAGTTTTTTTCATTCAATTAAATGAATTCTACTATAAATCCTCTTATGTAATTTTAGCTCATGTTGCCAAATTTAAACGAGCAAGAAAAGTTGTTCGACAAAATGGTGGTATAAAACGATTAGTAAGTATTACTGAAATAGAATAAAATATGAATACAAATAAAAAAAAAAATCTCAGGTTGGACTTTTGGAAAATGCTTGTGTTAGTGGTCACGGACCAACTAGTCATGGTTCGATTAGTGATAATGCGAAAAATATTGAAGTTGCTCGTGCAGGTGCATTAGCTCTTTGGAGCTTAAGTCGATCGAATCGTAATAAACATCATATGCAACGTGCCGGTGTTATTCCACTTTTGGCTAAATTACTTAAAAGTTCAAATGAAAGTATGCTTGTTCCTGTAGGTGGTATTATAGAAGAATGTGCAACTGATGTATGATTGAAATTCTTTCATTTCTTATTGTATACAAATTATATTTGATTTAGTCTGTTTATCGAACAGCTATTCGAGGTATGATTCCTGATCTTGTGAAAAATTTATTAAGTGCTAATGATGAACTGAAGAAACATTGTGCTAGTGCGATATTTAAGGTTTAGTAAAGATTGAATATTTTATTTAGAAAAGAAAACCTATTTTCTATTCAGTGTGCAGAAGATAAGGAAATTCGTCTTCTTGTACTAAAGCATTCTGGTCTTCGTTCTTTGCACGATCTATTACAAAAATCGGATAATAAACCTTTATTAGCTGCAGCAACAGGTGCTATTTGGAAATGTTCAATTTCTCATGAAGTGAGTTTTTTTTTGTTTCGATATTCTTTCTTTTTATCTCATTTTGTGTTAGTGTATCGTACAATTTCAAGGATTTCGAACAATTGAAGCACTTGTTCAATTACTTAACAATCAACCAGAAGAAGTATTAGTTAATGTTGTTGGTGCATTAGCTGAATGTGCTAAAGAAGCAGATAATCGAACAACAATTCGTAAATCTGGTGGAATATCACCATTAGTTAATTTACTTACAGGAACGAATCAAGCACTATTAGTCAATACTTGTCAAGCTTTACGTCAATGTGCGGAAGAACTGGAAAGCATACAGTAGTTCTTTTTTCTTTGATCATGTAAATCATCTTCGATGAGATTTATATAGGATGATTGATCGATTAGATGGTGTTCGATTGCTATGGTCACTTTTAAAAAATCAAAATCCACGAGTGCAAGCTGCAGCTGCTTGGGCTATATCACCATGTGTGAAAAATATTAAAGTTTGTCGAGAATAATTAATGTCATACAATTTTTAATATAGAATATCTATGTGTTGTAGGATTCAGGTGAAATGGTACGAAGTTTTGTTGGTGGTCTTGAATTAATTGTTTCACTATTAAAATCAAAAGATGTTGAAGTATTAGCAAGTGTTTGTGCTGCTATCGCTGAGATAGCAAAAGATGAAGAAAATTTAGCCGTTATAACAGATCATGGTGTTGTTAAACTTCTTTCAACTTTAGTAACACGAGTTAGATTTAAGAGTTTATTTTTATTTCAAATATTATTCATTTTTATTCTCTAAATAGAATGAAGATATACTTCGTCGATATTTAGCTGAAGCTATAGCTGAGTGTTGTAAATGGGGCAATAATCGGCAAGCATTCGGTGATAATCAAGCCGTTGCTCCTCTTGTTAAATATCTCAAATCATCTGATCCTAATGTACATCGATCAACAGCTAAAGCACTACATCAATTATCAAAAAATCCAATGAATTGTGTTACAATGCATGAAGTTGGGGTTGTTCGAGTATGTTTTATTTATTTATTTTCATATTATTAAAAATATTCCTTTTTATTCTTTAATTAGTTATTAATGGAAATGGTTGGTTCAAAAGATGATGTACTTCAAGAAAATGCAGCGATTTGTATTTCATATATTCGTCGATTGGCATTAGCAAATGAAAAGTCGAAAAATGGCTAAACTAAATAAAAGTTTTTTTTATTTTATAGATGAGGAGTGGCATTATGATTTTTTTTTTTGTTGCACATTTATTTATGATTTTTGCAGTCTAATAAAGCCGCATCATGCCTTTACGGCTCAAAAAAGATTTTTATGAATTAAATACTTTGAAAATAATTGATTGTTATTATTTTTGAGAATAAAATGAAATCTACTTAAGTTGATGAAAGAAAAGATAAGATTTTTAATATATTCTTGTTTCGTCAATAATACTCTTTTTCAAGATTATGTTTGATTTCAATCCAAATATTCGTATAATTACTTGTCTAATCTTATAGAAAGATTATTTCAACTGATAAAAGTTGTGCGCCTATAACGATAATATATCAATAAGAGGGAACGTCATAATTTTCTATGTCCTCTTTTCGCGTTTTTAAAAAAGCAATTTTCTTTTTTTTATTGACATTTCTCAATTAGATATTTCTTATGAATTTTTATTAAACATGTCTTTTATTAATAATAATTGAAAAGAAATTTATTTGCGTATGTAGCAATATTGTGTTTTATATTGATTGTGTAATGTCAAAGAATAAAATAAAATATGCATCCATGTTCAGTTACTTGTTCTCATATTCCACTTCACTTTATTTTACTTAAATCGAATACCACACAAACATTGTAACATAGATATACACAAGAAAAAGAAAAAGAGAAAATGTTAAAGAATCGACAACCATAACAACAACAATAACATGATTTCTTTATTTCTTTTCATCGTCGAAACATAGCGAAGTGGCAGTAGGTAACAATCGATTCCCACAATCTTTAAAAAAAAAAATATTCACCAATCCATCGACAACAGGAGCAAAGAAAAAAAGAAACAATACAGTGCTCCTGATGCATGCGTAAGTTCTGCTGATTGATTCAAAATTTGCCGTTATTCTCTTCTCTTTTTTTTTCTGTTTTAGACGTAAAAAAGAAAGAGTGAGAGAGAGAGTTTTTCCGTTACTCGATTGTTGTTTCGGGCGTCAAGGTGCCCAGCATCTGTTGTCACCACTCGTTGACAACAGACGAAACAAAAGAGAGGCGTTTACATTATGAACACGTATTGATGTGAAAGAGAGCAAGAAACAGCTTCATTCGTATGCATTTTTAGTCATGCATTACATAATGTCATTTTTATTTAACGACAGTGATAACTTTTCAATTTTCTTTCAGAATAATTTAAAGGAATGGTATTCACTGAAACGAAACCACGTGGGCCAATCTCGGCTATGAATTCAACACCGGGTCCAGTTTATCTATTGCCAGGTTTAGTCGGAAGTAATGCTCATGATCCACGTTCAGTTCATACCAAACAACCAGCATATTCCTTCGGTCTTAAGCATGGTAAATATAAAGATGAAGCATCACCTGGTCCATGTTATTTTCCAAATCCAAAAATCTCTCGAACTGGTAAAGATGGAACACCACATTATTCACTTTATGCTCGACGTGGTGATCTTAAAGGTGATCTTAACCCTGGTAAGAATATAACAATAACAATATTGACATCATTTTAATTTCATGCAATTTTGATTAGGACCTGGTGCGTATAAACCCGAGGATGCAGGACCTATGAAAACTGTCTTTCAAGCTCCTCCTGCTTATACATTTGGTACACGTCACAAATATTTCGGACTTGATAATACACCTGGTATTTTTGTATTTCTTACTTTCTTTGTTTTTACTATATTTTCACTCTATTCTTTTAGCACCAAATGCATATGGTCTGCCTGGCATGTTAGGTAAAACAGTTCAAAGTGTAAAGAAGCAAGCACCCATTTATACATTAACTGGACGAAGTAAACGTGGTGGTTTTGATGAAGATCTACAACGAACACCAGGACCAGGTAAATATTGTTTTTATTCTGATATAAAGTTTTATTTCTATGTTACGTAGGTGCTTATAATGTTGTGAAACCGGGTACATATAAACAAGAGCCACCACATTATAGTATGATAGCTAGAAATGAAATGCCTGGTGATACAACTCAAAAACCAGGACCTGGTAATTATTCACCTGAAAAAGTTTGGCTTCATAAACAACAAGCACCTGGTTATTCTTTTGGTATACGACATTCGATGTATGAAGCACCACTTATTGTCGAAGTCAAAGAATAAATTGTCTTTTTCGCTCATGATTTTCTCCTGAACTACAGAAAAAAAAACATGAATTTCAGTCTTCATTTGTTGCTTGTACGATCTTTTTTTTATTTTATTTTATATATCAATGATCTCATTCTATGTCTTACAAAAGCACCCAGCTATAGACAATTACTAAGTATGTTCTTGTTTGCTAAGAGATGAAAAAATATCTAAAACAGGAGCATCATTTTAAAGTAATTGGCCATGAAAATCGTTTAGCTGTTTATTTAGCTAGATGTTTAAATTTTTTTTTTGTTGCTTTACAATTTTTAATGGAAAAATGCTGTATTTCTTTCTCTTATAACTTTGAGAAATTATTCAACGAGCATTTTCTTTATGATAAACCATTCACTGATAGAACTTTTCAGTAAAAATTTTTTTTTTACATTTGAAGCGAAAACTTATGTAATCAATTTCAAAATGGTTCAAAAGTCCTGGAGCCTACTCTTTTTATTCTTTTATAAAATTAATATTCTTTTGCATACTAATAATACTAATGATTGTTTTAATGAAATATCATCATGATATACGATTATTGATTTTTATTGAAGATGAAAAAGAAAAAAAGAAAGACACACAGAGTCTATGTTCACAGTTCACAAAGATAAAACATTTCTAAAATAACGAGACATATACATGGTTCAGTTGCACAAATATTTTTTTCTTTTGGATCATTAAAGCAAAAGGACAGGGAAAAAGTCTCTCATAAAAACTACTATATCAAAGCTTGATTATTATTTTTTCCGCAAGTGATGGAATTATTTGTAAGTTTTGATTGTATCAATCTATGTTTATTTCGACTAAAGTAGTTGTTGTTGTTTGATCGAATATTACAAAGTTGAAATTATTAAATAAATAGCAAATTTTTTATGTTTGATTCTTGTTGTTCACTCAGCTAAATTGATCTAATGACAAATAGGATCAATTTCAAAATAAACTCAAAAAAATTATTGTAAATTATATATTGATCAAAGTAAAGTGAGCCTTAACGATTTACCTTTACCAATCAGTAAGAATAACAAAATATTTGAGTTCCTTTTAGTGAAAAACATTAACAAAAAAATAAAAATAAATAAGTAACAGAAGTAAAAACTAGAAATTACAACACAGAAAATATGTATTTATCCATAAAATAACTCAAAAGTCACTTTACTAGAAACAAAAAAGTTGTACATCTTCGGTATACGTTGTTCTGAAAAGTCAATTCCTTTTACTATTGATAAAAATGATTCATAGTTCATATTGAGAAGAAATAAGTCTAAGAATATAAATACTATTACAGAGTATGAATATTCATCTTAATAAAGAACACTAACTATGAATGAACGAAGGAAAACAATATCGCAATTACCCAATAATGTATTGTTGTTTACGGATGAAAGTTTTTCGGAATCTCGGAATCAAAAGACATCAATATGTGATATACGTGTGAACTCGTACGAGAAAAGTGTAAAGAAATAATAAAAAAATAAATGGATTTGTCCTGTCTTTTTTGGTCCGAAACATAAATACTTTATTGTATTATTCGTCAACGATTAGAATTCGATATTGAAGTCACATGATCACATTTTTAAAACAAAGTTTTTAATGTTCAATCTATGAATATGAACTATGTATACTCATTTATCAATGATAAATGAATTCGTTCATTTAGTGGAATATTAGTGATAATGTTCAACTTTTCGTTAGGTAAAGTGACTTTTGAGCCATTTATTATATTAATCGTTCATTTGACGAAATCTATAATGTTTTAATATTCAAATATGTATTTTACGGTAATGTTTATGCATCAAAACCTGATGACGTTAACAATTGATAACGATAGTTAAACGCATTAGATGATGAATGGTAATATTTACGACGAGACATGAATGACCGAATTTTCTGTGCAGCAAATATGAATAAAAATATTGTTAATGTAATACATATTAAAATAAATATTCTTCTTGAATTTGTATATGATCCATGATTAAACATGCTGTTATTCATGCGATTAATTGCTCTAAAAACAATAATATAAAATAATACATGCACAAATAATCGAATAATATACTTTAATGGAAAAAATCGAGTTCTATAAAGTATGGCACCAAGTGTCCATTGAACATCATTATTATTTACAAGTGAAGCTGAACGTAAACGTTGATAATCCATTGGAAATTTCAAACCATCATGAAGAAATGCATATAGCCATGCAGATTTAAAACATTGTAAACTAAATATAGAATTCTATTGTTATCATGACATAACAATGTTAAATTCTTTAGAAGCGAAACTTTTTTTTTACAGCAAATAACAAGCCGTCTAATGCTGATTTTAACTCTGCATGTAATAAACAAACTCTTGATTAAATTATTCTGATATTCGAATTCTACTCTTACACTCTACATAACAGACGACATTATAAATGCTGGGACAAAGAATAAAACAAAATTAATCCTGTAAAACGAAGAAGTGAAGAAAGTCGATCGGTACTCGTTTCATCTGTAAGTTTAATTTTGGCAAAAATTGTGTTTTATGATGAACGGAGTAACGGATAAAAAGTCTGTTACAGAGAGTGCCACAGGACAGTTTTCTTCGTTCTGCTCTGCATTCTGCAGGGTATTATCATTTAGTCATCCTGTTTTGAAGAATATAGAATAGAGTATTAAAAAGCTCTTACTGACAGGACAAAAGACCCTCCTGTTTCTAGTTTTCAGCACTATCTTTTCATTGCATGTTTGACAACTATAAAAACTTGTCTGTATATGAAGTACGATATCAAATGTCATAGATACGCTATTAATACAAAAAATCATTTACAATATACCCATGTTAATAGGTTTTATTATATGGTGTCCAAAAGAAATGAAATGAACAATAAAAAAAACCGCTTGACATACAGACCATGAATAAAATACTTGTAAAGAGCAAATATAAAGATTTAAGATTTCAAATGTAATCAATATAAACATATGGACAACAGAAAAGCATAGGTTTTCTTTATTATTTTTTTTTGATTTCTCGTATGAAAGAACAAATATATGTTATCAATCAGATTCAATAATAAACGTATTTGTCTTTGAGCAAACCTTAATCTAGCTCAACTAAATAATCTCTCTGCTAAACAAATAGTAACTTATATGAAATATGTTTTCCTGCCACCTATCCATAATAATGAAAAATCAAGACGAGTTGTACTATTACACCAGAGCTTCATTGGATTGCGATCAATCAGGTGACTTATATATTTTACGAAATTCAAATATCATATCCTAGATTTGCAGAACCAGTGCATGATACACGTCCTGTGACGTTCTCCGATCTATCAGTTGGCTATTTTCACAAACATCATAACTGATTATAATTAAGATTAAATAATATGAAAATTGAAATTTCTCGTCAGCAATAAAAATAACTTGACAACAATTTTTACATTTAGTTGTGGACAAATTTCATTGATATTATCAATAAAACAAACTTACATTAAACGATCTAAATTAATACTTGGATGTGATTTCTCATCGTACCATTGTTGAATATCGTTCCAATTTGCATTGCAAAATTTCTGAAAATTACACAGCTATTAAAAACACAAGTTTTCTTCTATTTTACTTACTGTTGATGCGTTAAGAAAACTTAATCGTGTATATGGACCTCCAATTTTTAAAATATCTATAAGATAAAATATAAATACTCTTAAAAACAAAACATATGGGACTTTCTTTTTTTTCCATACCTTGCATTGTATACCAGAATTCTGAAAATCCATAAAAATCTTGTGAATCATAATTTATTTGTGGTTGATAAACTCCATCTAATGAGCATGGCTTTCTTTGACATGTTGCATTTAAATTAAGTAACGTAACTAAATGTTTTGCACAATTTTCAAAATCTCCTTCACCTGTCATTATTATTGTCTTATTATTTCTTGTATAATTTGTTGAATAGCCACGAGGTAAACAATCAGCATCATTAATTCGAATATGAGGAGAATCTAATGTTGACGAACTAAAAAAATTTCTATAAATATAGATTTAATTAATTATTAAATTAAATTTTACCGAAGACCGATTGAAATAATTCGATCAATATATTTCTCAAATGCTTTATTTGCACCATAACCAAGAAATGTTCTAACATAGATTTTGTATTTAAATGCCTCTTGATGTTCATCATAACCTAAAGAAAATTCTTCTACTCCGCCTATCTCTGGTGTCTAAAAAAACAACAGAGAATAAAGTCGAAATAAAAGATAAATAAAATAAAATTTACAGCATTTGAAACTTCAACTAACCAAAAAAAAAAAAACAAACAATATTTCTTTATAATAATCAATTAAAGCATCAAACTTACAAGCAATTTGTGCTGAAGCACCACCCATATCAAGAACACCGACAGTAGTTGGACGTCCTTTAGAATTCAAATTCGACTTATCATTAGTTACTATTTCTAAATATGAGATTGACCAAATTAAAATTTTCTTTTCATTTTCAATTACATTGAATTTACTTGATTTAGTATTATTATTTTGAAAACGTCCAAGTACATAATTAATAGCTATCCAACTATAGAAACCTTCGAGTCGACCAGGGATAACTTGAATATGTGTATTTTCAATTAAAAATTTATAATCACGTACAATATCATTAAATAAATCTTCAAGTAATTGTTTTTGTTGACTAGAATGCAGAGACAAAAATATCAACCATATATATATATGTATATATAATTTTCATACTTCGGTGCTAATAAACGAAGACCAGCTGTTGCAAGAATATATACTTAAAAAACACCGTTAAGAACAAAAAACAGCGAAATTTGCATAAACTTACAAGGTGTATCACTATGTTTAACAGATGGAATTGTGTTTGCAGCAAAATCTAATAAATAAGTAGACCATGATCAATAGCTTAAGTTGAATAAAGAAAAATCAACTAGTACAGATCTTCATTAAGTGACAATTTCGAACTTTTAATATTTTGAAATGCCTCTACATTTTTCAAATACGACATATACTATTTATTATTAGTAACAAATCGAATAAATCGAACAGAATTGGTTTCAGTCTATTAATTTGATTATAATATCTCTTCGTCTTTCGTGATCTATTGCTCGACTGTAACACTGGTGTTTATTTCATATCGGTAGCAGAATAAAACACATCGTCATATATTACACAGATGATGATCAGTTCGATTCGGTCTAAAAGTTTGAAAAATATCTGAACCGATTCCATCTCTGATACATTTCAATACAGACTTTGATTATAATATTAATTACTACTGTTTAGTATATATGCTCAATCTCAAGAATTTTCTTTTAAAAAAATTCTTCTGACAATAAACATGACAAAAATGTGAAATATTCTCCTACCTAATAATGATTTTAAATATTCAGTTGCATTCATCGGCGTTTTTGCCATCGATGAAAGACCTAATAAGAAGGAAAAAGAAAATGATTATATATATTTTAAAGAAAAATATTATTAACCTGGTTCAATTTTTTTAACTACCGGTACCCCATTTTTATCAAGTAATTGTTTAATTTGTAATAATTCATTTGGTTTTCCTGAATGTTCTGGCCAAATATAAATATAAAGTCTTGATCCACTACTTCCACAATCAATAACAATGCCATAATGTATATTAGGATTTTCAATTGCAAGTTTCTCTGGTACATAAACACCGGCATCACCATTATTTCGAATAGGATCTGGACTTACAGTTGTTGTGAGTGTTGTAGAATTCACCTAATAGAAACAAAAAAACATTGAAACATTGAACAAGAAACTAGACAGTGTAGATTCAAAGGAAAAAAACAACTTTCTGGTTTATTTATAAAGAAAAGAAATCAAACATTAGAAGAACTTTGTTCAAGATGTTTTAAAACTTCATTTGATAAAAGATGTTCTTCTGTTAATAATGATATTCCTAATTGATCTTCTTGTCTTAATGGTTGTGCCATATCTTTAAGCCATTTTTTAACAATCTGTACACATTCTTCTATGGATAAATTAGCTAAACTATCACTTAAATATTCTTGTATCCATTTTGGAATTTTTTGTCGTTTATCCGAACGTAAAAATCGTTTATCTGCAAATATCATAATACCATAATCACTTTTACCACGTAATACACGACCAACACACTGTGCTGCATGACGCATAGCATCAAAAGTTAAAAAATCATTTTCACGTATATGAAAATTTTCTCGTAAATAATCAAGACGTGCTTGTAATATACGTGATTGTGTATAAACATATGGAATACCGAACATTATGACACATCGACCAAGATGATTATCAAAATCAACACCTTCACTAACTTTACCACGAGCAACTGATAATAAAACTGCACCACGACCATTATCACAAGCTTTTTGATAATTATATAATGCTAATGACGTTTCAATACTATCAGGTGTTTCAATAAATAATAATTTATATTTTTGAATTTGTCCTATTATACCTAATTCATACCACGTTGCAACAACATGTTCCATATAAATATATGATGTAAAAAAACAAACAATGCCATCAGGTACATGTGTACACATTTCAATAAGTAATATACCATAATTACGAATAACAGATTGATCTTCACGCAATTCAAATTTTGATGTTATTGCTATTTGATCATTACCACGCGTGACTATCATTGGAAGAATACATGGACGTGTTAATGTCATAGTAAATGTTTCCATAATTGCTGGAGTAAATGAAAGAATTTTTGGATACATATCAATAGGTGAAAGTGTACCTAAAAAAGAAAAGGATATGATTCAAAATTGATTAGATTTATTCAACTGTTACTGTCATCATTTTTATTTAGTTCGATGTAAATAAATCTCGGGATAGAGGAGAAGACAAGATAAAATTATTTCATGCATTTTCTTAGAATATTTCTAAGAAATGATTTTTGCTTAGAATTCGACCTGATATTTAAATTTCAAATGAAACACGACATAAACAAATTAAAGTTTCCAAATTAAGAGTGAATAGAATAAGCATGAGTCTATCAGATACATAGACTTTGCTGAAGTGTTTAAAGCTGAATTCTTCATCGAGAATATACACTTTGATAGATGTGAAAAAGAAGGAAAATTATGAAACATGTAATTTTCTTTTTGAGATTATTCATTGTACTTCAAAGTAAAATAAATGTTTTATAAACTGATGATTTAGTGAGTATTTTCTTGTTTATCAAAATTGGATGTCAATAAACTGTTGTTTTAAAAGGAAAGAAAACTCTAGTTCTTTTTCTTTTGATCGCTAATACTTTACATCAGCATATATCGATTTTCTTGTCATACTTCAGATTTTCTTGGGCGAGCAAAGAAATAAATAAATAATGAAGGTATGTGATTATCATTGTACTTTTTGCCAGAAAAGGTTATGTTTAGTATCATAACATAATCGATCAAAACTGTAACGAGTCATTCTTAGAGTACGTCCAATTAAAACTCGAATTTTTGGATCCCTACCTCTCTTCTGTCCAGATTTCTTCTGTTTCATCGATTCATCTCCCTCTTCTGGACGTTTACTAGAGTCCATCGGGTTCAACATTTTCTAACATGACCTCGAGCGCACTACTTTGATGTTCTTAATGAAATTTTCTAATCGAAATTCGATAGTCGTCATGTAAGTATAAGATAACTTTTTCAGGTTTTCTAAATTTCATGACTAGTGCTCATAGGGGTCAAATTTTTCGAACCTGGTTAACAGAAAACTTTCAAGTCCGTACTCAACTTAGTACGAATTCACCCCGATGGACTCTAACGTCCAGCATAAACAAGAAACTTTCAGAAAAAGTCTGCTTGTTCAAATATACTACTTCTTTTGTATTAAACGACAGTTCATTAAATATATATATTTCAGAAACAGAATGGAAAACATACATTTTATAAACAACAATCAAAAATATATTTCATGGCCAATTATTTGTGTTTTTAAATACATTCGATTTTAATGAGCAAAACATAGCAATGTTCGTATTCATGCTTGAAAAAATAAGTATTTGTTCATCTCGTCTAATCTTCAATTATCTCAAAAGCATATTCATATTCAAAAGATTAATTCAGTTTATTTTCTATTTAATAATGCTGTTTAGAACAAATTAAACTTCAAAACTTGTCGAAAAGTTGTATGAAGAAAAGAAAAACATTTCTAGTAAGTATTTGAACGTTCTTAATGGATGATTTCAAAACAATGTTAGAGGAACTACTATAAAATGTTATACAAATTGGAACGTCTTTTATTCTACATAAGAATATCTACTATGTAAGCTACTATATTTCGTAATTAAATAAAGATCTTAACTATAATAAGTTACGGTGTGTGTAAGTGTGAAGAAAGAGAAAATGACAAGATTCTTAATTATTTCTCATTATAAACTGTGACACAGACAAAATATCTAAAAAAGAAAAAGGAACTACGATTTCAATCTGTTTGATATATTAAATCATTCTTTTTATTTCATCGTCATATGTAGATAGACTTTAAAACGTTTTCTTTGTTAAAGTTTCATATTACCTGATGTAATAATAACCGATTGAAATCGATCAAAAACTGGTTTAATAGCAATAGATGAATCAAGACAGGTAAAATGTAAAACAGGATTATAAACTGTTGATTTACTATCAAAAAAAGGTTCAATAATTAATGTAAAACCTTTTGTATATGTACTAATAATTGTTGCAAAATTACAAAGTAACATTAAAGGTTGATACATATGTATATCACGTGTTTCAAGTGTACGTAATAATGAACGTAAACGTTCTGAACAAAATCTTAATGGTTTTCTTTCAATACAAACGCGTACTTGTAAATCTTTTAAAAATGATGGTGGTGATTCTTTAACAACATGTTGAATATTCATTCGTGTTTTCATATATTCTAAAAAACGTTTAATAAATATAAGAAAATGTTCTGCTTGTCGAATATTTCCTGGAACATTTTCTTGTAAAACATGTTCAGGTAATATTGGATTTGTTAAAATTACATCTGTTTCACGTTGTATAGCTTGTTCACGAAGACCTTTAACAAGATTTTCATATTCATTTTTTAAACGACTTGCATCTTTTTGTTTTTGATTTTGTACTAATACTTTTAAATTTTCAACATTTGTTTGTGCACGTTCAAGTATTTTACGTGTTAATGTTATTGACATTGAATCAATACAAACATTATCAATATTATGTGCTTCATCAAAAACAATTATTGATGTTTTTGGTAATTCTTTTGAAATAATTTCAGCAATTTTTGGATCTAATAAATAATGGTAAGAATAAACAATAGCATTTGCATGTGTTAATATATAACGTGCAAGAAAATAAGGACACCAATGTTTTGTTTTACCGTATAATTTCATATCTTCTAAATTATAAACACCATATGGAATACTTTCTTCTCGTCCATTTTTATCATATTGTTCATAATAAGAACATGTTTTTATTGAACGATCTTGTTTAGCTTGTTCACGTATATATGATGCTGTTAAATTCATACATGCACTATCAACTTCTTTGCCTAAACGTAATTGACTAACATCAGGATGAATGCATAAATTTTTTCTTGAACTCATTGCAATACCAACAAATTTTTGCTTTTCATTTAATTCTTTTTCATAATATGAAATAAGACGTTTCAATTCTGACATAACTTTTTCTATTTCTGGTACTGTACGACTACAATAAATTAATTTATTATATTGATCAGGATAACGTTTCATATAAGCAATAATAAGTGATAATAATGTAATAGTTTTTCCAGTTCCTGATGGCATTTCAAGTACACAATGACCTTTATGATCAAGACCACGTTTAAGTTCATGCATATATTTATATTGTTCAGGATAAATAAAATCATATGGCATATAAACAAGTAAACCATCTATATTTAACTTCATTCTTTTTCTTTTTCTATTTTATCTAAAAAAATCTCACTCGGACGAGTGACCTCAATTTAATTTGTTTAATTATAATATTTATATTTAGAAATATACAGAAATTAGAGTTAACAATAAGAAAAAACACAAAGTGCATACCCGGCTTAGCAATAACCATACGAGAGAACAGCTGATGACTAAAGATGTTGTCATGATTAAGTGTCTTCGATTACCACCAGATAACTGAAATGCCATTATTTATCAGCACATCTGAAATTTATAAGTTATATCAATTAGTTAAAGAATATTCAAAGATCTACTAAGTTATGATGAATAGATTACAAAGATTTTTTTATCGAAAAATGCGATGATCATTTTTATTATTCTTTTCAGTGATCGAAAATTGTACTGGCGTAAATATTAATCAGTTTGCTCGAACTACTCTCGTATTGGTTACATAGACGCGTTACATACATATTTGTATTTGTATGTATGCAATTTATTGTAGTTTGTTTGAACCAATAGAATCATTTTCCATCTTTTACTCTCACTCATCCACAAAAACTGTTTGTCATATGTCCAAAAGACTGACGTATCTCGAGTGAAGCCTTTTCTTTCATGAATATGAAGAACTTGAATATCTTGGACAAAAAAAATCATGTGAAACAAGACTCGTGACTTTGTGACGAACTCAAACACTTGGACCTCTTTTTTTATCAATGCATATTCGCACTAATGCACTTGAATTTTGTTCAAGCACATGTAATGTGTTTAAATATTAAAGAAGTCTTTTCTAATATTTTTGTCATTCCGTCCATGTACATGACAGTAATTGTCAATTATTTAACGTTGATAATGCATAAAGACAAGTAATAACAAAAAAATGAATACTATAATTGATTTTTTTGAAAAATCGTCTCGTATTATTGATTGAGAAAGAAATAGGCCTGATATTCACTATAAAAATAATACTTTTCTATTCCATAATTAATTCTGTGCTCGTCTTGAGTTCAAGTGGTAATCTATGAATTAAAATCGACTTCGACCTTTGAACTCTAGTCTATGTATACAGATACAGCCAAATACCAGGAGCACGAGAGTTCTTTCTGATGCTTTTTTGTAGAATAAAATTTTGACATCTGTTACTTGAAATGGAAATCTAAAAGTCTAGTAGTTTTCTGGAAGGCGGAAGAAGGCTATCACCAATATCTCTCATAATTACTTATGATCCTTGAGTATCATTAAAAAATTTGTTATTGATTAAATTGAAATATTGACAGATTAATGGATTTACGTTTAATAATATTTCGTAGTCAAATTCATTCTGAATTAAGTCTTCAACTGATTTCCTTGCTTCACTTAATCATGAATTACATAGTGAAAATCAGAGCACAATAAAAAAAAAACAATTGACTTACTTTATCAGACAATGCACGAAAGCCATATTTTCAGACGAAAAAAGGAATCAAACGAAAAATGCAAAGCATCGTGGTAGTCGAAGCTGAGATTTGTCAATCGAAATTTCTTATGGGTTGTGAAAGTTTTATGTTTAAAATAATTCAGTTCTTAATAGAAACTCATATGTTAAATAACAAAGACTGTAGCAAACAGAACAAAAAGAGAATCTATATGGGCAATAGATTCAGGCATTCTTAAAGGCAAAGAACATTATTTTATCTAAGGCAGACAAGACGTGGTCATTTTGCCCTGATTGACCGTCTTATTGGTATTTCATTTCAGATCGAAAATGATTTCAAAAATATTTAGAATACATTTAATTAATTTTTCAATTGTTGGTCAACGTGAAAGTTCATTTTTGGGAGTTACTTATATGTCTTGTTTTTAATTAGATCTTTTCATTGAAGCTTAATTGAGGCATACATGATTTTAAAAATAATAGAGCATTAAAGTCAATCATTGACTTTTATTGTTATAAAGTATTGCTATCTAATAGGATAGTTTGAAAGAAATGTCATAGAAGAAAGCATTTGTATTTACAGGAACCTACAAAATAGTTTTATATTCACTTGAACTTCATCTCATGTCATTTTTCTGATTATTGGTTTTGTCACGTTCTAGTTCATAACAGATTTCTGAATATTAGTCCCTATCGTTTTGAAAATAAAATCTTGATGCCAAATGAGTCTCAGCATATTGTCAAAGTATTGTAATAACTGTTGAATATATTAATTATTTGGTTGGAAATGGATAAATTGCTCTATTTATAGTCAAATAATCTTCATTAGATTATCATTCTGAATATTCATGTGATATTTATGAATGTTTTCAATGTATTCGCTATTGATGAAATAATTTTACAAGTTATTCAATTTAGAGCCTTCGAAAAGCAAATACTGAATTAACAATGGATTGATTCAATTTTTAAGATGTTACTTTTTTTTTAAACGAAAGCATGGCTTTAAATGATATTTTTGGTAAAAAACATCATATGTTTTATTTTTTGAAGTGAGTATAAAAATTAAAAATAAATTATATTGTAGAAGATACAACAATAGAATTCATTATGGTTATGATGCTTCATGTGTTCGAATAAGTCAAGCATTAGATGTAAGATTTCGATCTTCTATTTTTTCAATTTTTTCTTTAGTGATTATTAGAAAGAATGCATATAGTTACTGATCAATGCTGTTTACATTTAATAATAAATCAATTAAAATTATATATTCTTAAGCTTCACCCAGTGTTGAGTCCTTATTAATAAATTACAAAAGAAACAAAATCAATATTCAATCACTTAGTTCAACTTAAAAGTACAGCACACAAACATGTGACAACGTCTCATGTTACTGATAGCTCATTAGTGATATTTATTAATATTTATGCTCACATGTGATTAGCAGTTACCTAATGATCATTGTATTCTTCAGTTTTCATTGTACTTATAATGTAAATAGATCATGTAATGGTGAAGAAGTTCGCCTTATAAAGCAATGTATGTATAGTTGAATTTTATTTCTGGAAAAAAACATCCTACATATTCATGTATACTTACAACATATGCTTCATTTTTTTGTTCATTCTTAAGTTGTCTTGACTGTACATGCGTGGATTCTCTACGAAAGTATTCCTGTATTCTCGCATGCATCGACAATGTTAAGCGTTTACATGTACAAAACTTTATGCATGCAAATGCGAATATAGATTATTGTGTGGGGGTGTTCTCACGCATGTCAGATCATAATGATTCATGTATATAGACACATATTATAAACTTTTGAGTTTGACTGCACTTGTTTGGGATTGTTTCTCCTATTCAATTGACGAAAAAATGAAAACTTCGAATCATTTCATTTCCTGATTCCCAGTGTTGCTTCCTACTTATTGCAAACATATCATAGAGTGGTAGAAGACAGTGGATATAGGTATATGAATATGAGTGCAGCTGAAGAAAAGAGACAAGCTGATAGTCACCTATAAATTCGTATTTACATCCTTTTTTCATACTTGAGCTTTTCTCATTTTACATACCTTTCTTTAATTCTGGCATCGACAATAGTTATCCGTCACATATGTTGTGTGAGTAATTGATAAAGCTCATCCAAAAAAAGAAATCTCAACTTGTTAAATGATCAATATTCAGTATTAACAAAAATCACAAAGTTTTAGAAATTCTTAGCTGTAATAGTCAAACAATGATCCTCAAAAGTTTAGTTGTGAAGAAGATCTAAATAAGAAAGTCTCCTAGGTTATAACTATTCCACTCAAGATTCCTTAATTATTTGAAGATCGCAGTATTTGAGGTACATGGGAAGGTTAAGATGTTTCTTATGCTTCGTTATCAAGCCCATCCTGTAGAAATGTTTTACAATGCCTTACCTTTATATATATCTGAATAATCTGACCACAGCGTATATCTCGATCGATGGGTGTGGGTGTGAGTGGGTGGGTGGGTGAAGAGAAGACCCACCCTCACACCCACACCATTCCATCTATACTGATATGAAATCATTTCATATATATTTATTCTAGAATTCTAGAATTCAGCTCAGTGCGCACCTCGTTATATGAAAATATTGTTAACAAGGTATTGATTATATTTATGTTATATGTACACAGACAAGGCTAAAGGTAGAATTCTATGAGAATTCTAGAATATTAGAAGAGGGCCACGTCTCAATCTCTCAAAGCAGTTTATACAACTGTACGCTTAACGATCAACTTCATGGGCGACATGGTGAAGCTACTGAATTAGACTGAGTCATTGATTCTCCATCATTTTCTTTCAACACTATCGTCTCATGTCTTGTTATTTCTTCAATGAATTCTGAATCTGAAAATGGGCAGTATATGAAACATAATATAATCAAAAGCAATGTATATCATAGAAAAGTCAAAGAAACTTTGAATTTATGTGAATGTCATTTCAAAAATGTTCAACTGAATGAATAGTATGATACGCATACAAATATCAGGGTAATTTGGCCAGTTTGACTACTCGATGTTTTCCATATTCGCAAACGTACATATTCATTTGCGAGTCAAAAGCAATATCAACCGGTTGGTCAAGCCCACTGGCAACTATGCTACCAGTAGAATTTGCAGTGAAACCAGCACAAAACATGACAATAGTACCACTACCAGTATTGGCAACATATAAATTACCATATTGATCGAAGCGAAGTGCCCATGGGAGTGAAAGTCCTGACGATATAATCACTGTGCCATTTGTTGATCCAGCTGGAAAACGAGTCACTGTATTCAAATGATGAGTCGTCGCATATACATTTCCTCCTATATCAATTGTTACACCAACGATATCGGTTAGTGGAATGATATAAGAGCTGTCATTAGCAAAAAATGACCAAACCAGGATTCGATTATACCATAGATCGGCCAAATAAATTCTGCTATTTGAAGTATCGACAGCCATGGTCCATGCTTGTCCAAATGAACTCGTTGAATTGGTATTGATACCGGTAGTACCGGCAATCGTTATGCCAACGGAGGCACCTGGAGACCACTTCAAAACACGTGAATTTCCATTATCAATAATGTACATGTTCATTGAAGAATCAACATAAACAAACGTCGGATAATACATCTTACCGTTTGTCCATCCGGAGACACCATTCGGATCACCAGCAACAGTTGTCCCAGCTGTAGCATTTGAAGACCAGAACTGAACCCTGTTATTAAAGTTATCGGCGATGTATAAATTGTCGTTTCCATCAATGAAAATTCCTCTAGGATGATCTAAACCAATTGGCGTCGCGGCATTTGTTCCATTATCATAGCCGGCAACTGTTATTTTCGTAGAATTCCAAAGCAAATAACCTAGCAATAACAATAAGTACTAGTGTTTCTGTGAGTCTGTATCGAGGCTGAACGAAAATTAGTCCTTTTCTATTTCACGACAATTACTATGTAAGAGGAAAATGAATATTTTGATTATATGTTATACTATTCATTAGAATTTTAAACTCAATCAGATATTAACACCAGTTAAACTGATTCGAAATCCGTTTCT